AATAATCGATCCTAAAATGTAACTATAAATTTGTACTATATCAAAGATTAAGCTAATAAAAACCAACTGGCATTGTCACCAAAGTTCACAAAAAAAAAAAAAAAAAAAAACTAGTTTGATTATATTGGTAATAGAGAAAAGAATAAGAGAAGTTATGTTTATAAAAAATGTGAATAATAGGTAGTTTATTCAAGAAAATAATACTTTATTGTTATATTGTAACAAAATTACAATTCAATAATTTAAATATAATTGTTATTTATAATAATTTTATTTAATAATGATTGCATAAACATTTCATTATAATTAAAATTTTGATATTCTTAGTTTTTAAGTATTTTAATTAATATATTAGAAATAAAATTTTAATTAGTTAGAAATTAAATAGATTAAATAAGTCTAATTAGTTAAAATTTAAAACCTGCATTTTGTACAATAAAATTTTAAAAATAAAAAATACATAAATCATTTTTATATAGTTTTTATATATTTTTTTAAATTTTTATATAAAATTAGTATATGTTATTAATAAATTTTTTTTAAATTACAACTAATTTTTATTAAAATTTTATAAAATATAAATAAAAAAATTTATCTATTATAATAAAATTTTGAATCATTATTATATTTAAAAAATATATACTTGTATATATCACAAAATTTTTTTGAATTAATTTAAAAAATTTTAAGATAATACAAAATTGTTAAATTTGCTAAATTTAATTGATTAATTTACATAATTTTATAAATTAATTTAATTGATGATCTGTTAATCAATCAGAGAATGATTATAGTGTAACATGACACAGATTACTTATAAAAATTAGGGGTTTGTAAATATGGTGTAAATATATCATAAAACTTTTTTCATACTAAGTTAATTGTTTTTCTTATTTAGATGAAAGTTATAAAACTTATTGAAATGGATCTAATAGTGATTAAATCATCCAAATCGACCTGATGGTTGCTGAGTAGAGTTTAGGACACAAGGACATGCCCCTAGGACATGCCTATGGGTATGTTTCAAGTCCAAAGGGCATGTCCTTGTTATGTAATGTTTAAAGTTATTTTAATTGGCTAATAAGTTCAGGTAAACTAGAAGCGTAGATACTAAATCAACATGTAAAATTTTTAAGAAGTTGTAAACTATGTGTTAATTACATGATTTAAAAAGAGCATGGCCATGAGCATGAGAGGCATGCCTTAGCTCAGGGCATGCCCAATTTTTTTTCTATGTCCTGAACCCTATTGCTAAGATATCATTAAAAAATGTTACACTGACTATATAAAATTCTATGTAAACAATACTATTGTTTATATAAAATTTTATATAATTAACGTAACATTTTTAAACGATATCTCAGCAACCACCAGGTCAATTTGGATGATCTAACCATCATTAGATGCGTCTCAACGAGCTTTACAACTTTCATCTAAGTGAGAAAGACGATTAACTTAGTACGAAAAAAAGTTTTATGATATATTTACATCACATTTACAAACCCCTAATTTTTATAAGTGATCTGCATCACGTTACACTCTGATTGACTGGCGATCATCAATTAATTAATCTAATCTTTAAAAAGTCATATCTTATTGAGTTTTTAAGCAAATTTAATGATTTTACTATCATTAAAATCAGAAAGACCTGTTCTACAAACTTTTCTTATAAATTAATATTAGTCTACTTAGTATAATTTTTTATAAAATTAAATATATAAAAAATTTATCATTAAACTTAGATATAATTTTAATATAGTACCCCCTACCCTTAACAAGTTGCCTTTCGATTAACCGCATTAATCACTCAATTAATCATAATAATTTGAACAACATCTCGATCGCTGTCTAATCACATTAAGGGAACTGCTTGAGAACACCCTTAGTCGACTAAGTCGACCAATGCTATATCCGACTAGAAATACTACTTCATCCTTGTGGAGGGGTCATGATAATCTTCTTTGTGTAAGTGATATTCCAAAGAGGATGATAGCCCTTGTGGTTATAAATTTATATATTACATTCCTACATGAATGATCATTCACCTTATCGGACAAAAATTGATTAATTGCAATCAAAATCGATACGTGTAAACTTGATCGTTCTAATCACTTCAATAAGAATTATATAGTCTGGTTGCTCATAAAAAAAAAAAGAGAGATGACGAATGTATTCTATAACTGGTCACATAGAATCAGGTTAGGCTTTTAGAGTTCAAATCCGTTAAAGTGAAAGTTGCAAGGTTTTTTTTCCTTTCCGTGAAAATTATTGGATGAAGTTGTGAGAGATTTGATTGGCTTATTTTTTTATCCAATGTCAAATGTATCAGATGACTCTGATCAACAATCGTGCTTTGAAAAAAAAATTTCCAAAATTATGTTCCAATATCAAAGGCTCTCCGCTTTTCGACTCAGGTGTTCACAGCAATATATGTCCTTTAATGCTTTGCAACTGTTATCGCAAAGACCTTATGTAACGGATCAGTCTTCAGTAAAACCAGCCATAGAACTTTTGGCCAAACTACGTCAAGAAACTCAGATTAGTATCACAAAAGCCAAAGAAGCTTTAGTAAAACATAAAAATGATTATGATAAGGCGATTGCTTGGTTATTAGAAGAATCAAAGGCTACCGGTGCAGCAAAAGCTGAGAAACTTAAAGGAAGAACTGCAAAGGAAGGTTTGATTGCAGTTGTAACTTCAAAATTTGGAGAAAAGTTTGGAAATCTTTATGATGGAGGTTTTATATTAGGTAACAGAGGTGCTATTGTTGAGGTCTGTGTGTATTAACTTGTTTTGACGCGTATTAAATGTCAAATAAATTTGGTTAATATTGTTGATTATTTAAATCGCGTCAAATAAATTTATCAGGTAAATTGTGAGACGGATTTTGTCTCACGTAACGCATTATTCCAACAATTTGCTACACGGGTAGCATCAACATCATTGCTCTATTCAACACAATCAACACCTGGGCTTTCAAATATAACAGCAAAAATCGCACCAGTCCCCATTGAGCATTTATCTTTATCTCCGTTATTTCCACATCCTTCCGCATCATCACACGCAATTAATCATCTTTCACAACCTGCATCAATCAAGGATTCTTTAACGGAATTAATTGGAAAATTAGGTGAAAACATTAGTATACGTAGAATTGAAACTGTGAATTTTGGCATTGAAAAATTATCATCTAGAATCGCGAACGATGAAGGTTGGGTTGTTATAACAGGTGGATATGTGCATGGTGGTAATAATGCATACACAGGAAGAATTGGAGCTATAGTAGTTCTTGAAGTCAGAGGAGTGAACCAAGAAAACAGAATACTCCAAAGAGGGCAATTAAATTATTCACAGTCAATAATCGATATTCTTTCAAAATTTACTCGGGATTTAGCAAGACAAGTAGTTGGTTTTAATCCAAAATACATTTCTTATGACCATATTAGACTGCTTGAAAAAGATAAACTGAAAGGTTTAACGGTACCGGGAGAAATTGATGATTCTTTTATATTGACAGAACAAGATTTTATTGGTGCTAAAAATCAACTAACAGTTGGGCAACAGATAAAAAAACTGAAAAAAGATTTCTATATTGAACTAAATATTTTAGAGTTTAAAAGATGGGTATGTGGAGAAGACATCGATGATATCAAAAATATCGAGGGAGATTCTAATATTGAGATGTCAAGCCAAGCTGAATCATAATGCGTTTTCGTTGGTATTAGTAATAAAATTTGAATAAATGTATAGACTGCATCCCGCGATTGTGATTAGAATAAAATTAATTTTTTTACTTTAGTTTAAAAATAATTATTTATTTTAACTTTAGTATAAAATGAACTATTAAATGTTATGCGCTTATATATAAAATTCCATGTAGAATATTTTTACATAAAAGTTAAAAGATGTAAATTGTTATTTACAATTTTTGTTTTGCTTCACCTAATTTAGAATTTTACTAAAACGATACAAATATAACTGACAATTATGATGCACTACATTAGGAATTCATGACATTTAGTAATAATTGAGATTATTTATGAAATATATTATTGAATATTGCGACGATCGTCAAATACTTCATCATATTTTTGTTGGACCCACTGTTGTCCATCTTTAATTATCTTAACGCCAGCATCCCACATATTATCCATATTATCGGGGAACGCAAACCATGAGGCTATCCAGCCTACCCTCAAAACCGAAAGTAAAACTATAGTTCCCCACACTGAATATTCACCCCATTTTGAATAGACAGTTTCAATTTTAGGTTCTTCAAGTGGAATATCCCAACTAAATAGTTGTGTATTCTTCGTATTCGTTGATATTTCTAGATGTCGAATACGGCCTAGGGGATCAACGAGCCCCGAAGCACCACTCCCATCACATCTTAAAATCCAGTATCCGTTTTCAATTGCCCGAACAGATGCCATTTTCAAATGTTGAAGACCAATATGCGCAGACCATGTTTGCGCTGGTGAAAGTACCAAATATGCTTCTGCAGCTTTTCCAAGTAGTTCTGGAAAGTCCATATCTAGGCAGATCGCCCCACTCACGATCATGCTCGCAGTATCATCACGTTTAGTTTTTGGGAACGTGATGTTTTTGATAGGTGGATCATTTTGTCCACCGTTAATGTAGTAAGATTCTACAAGTGGGACAGGGTGAACTTTCTGGTAATTAAATATTATATCACCTTCCGGACCAATTAATGTTAACATATTTTTTTTCTGGTGGCTGTTTACATCATCTCGAATCGTATAAGTTATGCCGAGGAAAAAATGTTTTTTTGCTGTTAGGTTCTTTGCTTTACTAATCATATCATCAAACTCTTTTGGGGTCCGGATGCTAATTGCTGATTCTGACCAAAGCACAATTTTGCTATTATGATTATTTGCAAGAGTATCGGAACTTTTAAGTAAATCTTCTATTGAAATATCATTTGTAGGTAAAACGCAACCAATTGTTATAGTCTTCAATGGCTCACTGTTATCTTCTATGTATTGAAGCCTATACGAACCATTAACAAACAAAGCTAGGAACAGAATACCTAATGCAATCATAAAATACCAGTTTTGTTCTGATAGCTTTTTAACTCGATTATTTGTCGAACTATTATTGTACCCATCTAATAAAGGAGTTTCTTCTGTATATGGTAAAGCTTCATTATTCTGTTGAGTATCCATTCTTTTAATTTTATGAGTGTATATCATATAATCCGCCACAAATTGAGCGTAAAAAGAAAGAAACAGATTAATAATGCTGAGACCACCAATGCTGGTCATTTGCATCATTGGATCACCAGTATATCCTACATTATATATAGCATAGGCCCAGTCACCCCATGAACCTAATGGAGAATATCTGCGAATTAAAGACCACGTTGTTGTCCAGAGCAGCGGAAAGATGATCCAGATGTGGTCGGTGTATTCTGTTATTTTGGTTCGAGTTAATAAAATATTAGATATTACCATAGGAACTAATGTACAAGTTGAAATGATGCAGCCAACTGCTGCCAGAATTTTGAAATCGTCATAATAATTTCCGAATGGTGATTTGGGTTCGTGGTATGAAAGTCCTGCACCAATTGCAATAGTAAAAAATAGGGGGAAAACATTTACTTCTGAATGTTTGGTTCGAACAAGAATTAAGATTAATGGAAGATTAAAAAAGGGTGCAATCGGAATTGGCGTGGCACCAAGACCAAACCAAGATAAAATGAAAACGATGAAATAGGCAGGGGATAGAAGAAACCATTTTTTCATCAGCGTTTTTGCAATAGACATCAAATTCATTTTTTTCGCGAGTTTATAATTATATGTATACAGAAAAGTTTCAAGTTAAAAAAATTAAATGAAAAAATGATCTGAATATTTTGCAGATATATTTATATAACCTTTTTTTTGTTTAAAGTTTTTGAGATATTAGTTGGTCAAAGTTTGTATTCAGGTGTAAATAAATACAAAATTACGATAATTGAGTAAATATAGTCTCAAGGAATTGGGTTTCCGGAAAATTCGTAGACAATATTGATAAGTGATTTATTGTCCAAGGCGCAGCAAGAACGTTTTTAGGTTCAATGACATTTTTTTATCCAATCAAATTATTTATTATGTAACACAACAAATTTTTGATTGCAAAACATCATCCAAGCATATCTAACCAACCGAATTCTATAAATTTGATAGTTTTTTTCCCACACGTTGCAGGGCGAAACCTGTAATAGTGCTTAGTGATTTACTATCGCTATGACGATGATCTTTTTTGTATAGATTAGCTGTTCGATAAATTAATTCCGAAAGCATAGCGGGCTTTATTGTGATTGGCTGATTTTTGCAGATCATCTTTTCATAATAAAGTCTTATTAAAGTAACGATTTTCCGTCACAAGATTGAATTCAGGGCCTTGAATACGAATTCAGAAGAGGTAAGATAGTAAGTTCATATAAACAGCCAAGGTAATTCGAAAGTTAGATGAGATGGATGTCTGAACATTTCAATTTAGCCAATATGTAAGTCATTAATATAATATACAAATCTATTAAATTTAGTAATTTATTTGACAGATACCACCAGTAATATAGTTTAGTGAAATAATTTAGTAACAAGCCTAGCAACACGAAGTAATGAAGTATAAGTTTGTAAATTTCGAGATTAGAATGTGATGTCCGTTGATTATTATTAAGGTTATTATGGTCAAATAGTTTGATGTCAATAAAACTAATATTTTGATTAAAGTTGATTTATGTGTTTTTGTGCTTCTATTTCTTTATTTTTTTATAATTTCTATTTTTTTTTTGAATTATAGGAACTTGTTTGTGCTAGGCTTATGGTCTTAGGTTCTTAATTGTGAGATATCATAGTAATGTTTTATTAAGGCCAATTTAAAATATCTTAACGTTAGATTATCGAGTAACCAATCATATTTTGCAAATGTCACGAAATGATCTGCAAAAATCAGCCAATCGCAATAAAAGCCCGCTATGCTGATTCCGTAACGTTAATTATCGCTATATCTTTTGTGGGTTGAAGCCCACATTAAAATCAATTACCTGATTGTTGCGATTACAAAGCATTCTATTGTAAAATACTGAAGTTCGTCCAATTAAGTCGACTTCCGGCGTAGTTTTAAAGCGGCCAGAAACTTTATAATATAAATATATTGAAAGTTTCTAAATTTCGGTTACCGAAAAAAAATCAGGTTACAACACGCCGAATTTTTGTGTCCTGTCACGATGTAGCATTTCCTAACAAAAAATTCAATATATGATTGCCATACGCCATAAAAGAACCTCCTTAGTAGTAGACTCTCTGTATTGTCTATACCAGGGTTAGGATAGGTGAAATGTAAGAGATCCAGACTCCATTGACTGGTAATTTATATACAAGTTACAACAGAGATCCTACAGTTCCTATACTCTCCAGGTATAATATATATGACAATTTATGGTTGATAATCCCCAATTAGATGATGATCATATGATTACAATATAAGATGCGAACTACGTTATAACGGACCTCATTATAGTGGATACCTTGTTATAATGGAGCAATTTTCTGGAATTATTTAAAATTTTTAGTATTGTTATATAACGCTATAGCGAATATTCATTATAATGGACAAAATTTCTCGGCCCGACCACTACGTTATAACGAGGGTAAACTGTATATTATTTGCAGACTTGATCATGTTATTGTTGCGCTACTTTAGATATATAAAATCGCCACTTTAGATAAATCGCTACTTCAGATGTGACATTATCACGATCAACTTTTATTTTTATTATTTTATATTTAATTAATTTGTACAAACAAATATTTGATGACTGCACTAAAAATTCTCATATTTGTGCAGTTTATGTCATCACTGTCTTATCATCTTTTTTTATAACTTAATGATGGCCTCGTCCTGAAAAATAAAGGAAAATGAAAGAAAAAAGTTTAAATTGATAACATAAATATACGAATATAAAAAATAAATAACTGCTCATAATAATTTCGTTATTACGCAGTTATAAAAAATTTCACGTAGGTGTTTAATGACGTCATGTAATTGGCTTAGATCATGCCGCCATTCGACCGGAAAGTCTATGGACACGTACCAGTCACATGACCCTAACGTTTCTAAATTAGTGTGTCCAGGATTATGCGATGCGATAGGGTAAATTATGCCTGCGATTTGGGGTCAATTATGCGGTGGATGCGAAATAAATTTAAAATTATGCGAAGAAAATAGGCAATTATGCGATTTACCCTTTCAATCATACATGAGCTGCGTCGATAAAAAATGTAGAAAAATATGCCTTAATTCCTATTGACGGCATCCATATAGTTAAGGTGCCTGAATTATATGATAAATTATGCAATATGGATTTTAATTAATTAATTAAATTGTGATTTATAAACATCCAAATATTATTTATTTATTCATTAAAATTTAAAAAATTTAACATTTGGATTGAATTTTCTGACAAAGCATGTCTATTATCTGCTAAAATTCGGTTATAAGCTGAAAAGTTACACTCTACATCAACTCCTGAAACTGACAGCCATATATATACTAATGTGATATTATTAATATTTGGTAACAAGATCATCTTCTCACATCAATATTTATCCAAATCAAAATTTTCATTGAATGCTTATAATAACCTTGAATAAATTACCCATTCATTAATAAGTTCATTTAATTGATTTTTTAATTCTTTAATTGCTCTATATAATGTAATATTATGGTAGTCAATTTGTGCCTACATATAGCATGGGTCAAAACAACATGTTGCTTTGAAAATTGGAAACATGGAATGATTATCAACATGTTTTTGAATTTATCATATACTAATTAAAATACTTCTTTAAAAATTTCATCATATAATGTCAAATTATATTGATTTATTTGACAAAAATTAGTCATTTTATTTGGTTTGAAAGGTGTTTGGTAACCTGAACTTAAATAGACATGTATTTGCTCTAATTGATCAATGAAAAATAACATGACAAGTTTATTCTATATTTGACAAATTCAAGATTTCTGACTAATCTATAATGATAATAATAATTTGGTGAATAAATAATTGATATGAATATGAATAAACAAAAATTTTACTAAAAGAAATAAACTCTTTTGGGTTATGCCTTAAAGGGTATAAGCCTGAAGGGTTTTTTTTTAGAAAAATTTCTATATTAATACTTACAATTACATATTAAAAATAATAAAATAAGGAGTAAAATGTAAATAAAACAAATTATCCTTATTTTCAAAAATCTTAACCAACTTTGAATTGCTATATTGTTATTATTTGTTTCAGATTTCTTAAAATAAAAAGCAACTAATAGTGTAAAATAATTACAAACCCAAAAAACAAAATTAAATCAGAAGTTTTATCTAGTTTTACAAATAGTAGTAGCAATATAGGATCAAAATAATTATTTAAAAAAAAAAAAGAAATTTATTATCATTTTCTAGGCAGAGAATATATAAAGGTTGTTTTAATTAAACCAATAATAGAATCAAGAAGCTTAAAATTTTTGTATCCAATTCAAGTTTCTTTTACTAAATTATGTATATATGCAAAATAAGTATTATGTTTAATTTAAGATATTAAAGATAAAAAAATATTAAATACAGCTAACATATATGAAGCATTATCTGTAATAAATAGAACAACATTATCAAAAGAAATTTTATAATAAAATAAAGTTGAAATTATAAGTTGAAAAATGGTAGTTTTATTTCTAAATTATAAATAATGAGTTCTAACCAAACTGGTTTAATCAAAATAACTAAATAAAATATTTATTGTTACTCTATTGTAAAAGTTCATTATTTTATTAATTGTAATACAAATTTTTTTTTCAATTAACAAACTTTTAAGTTTTTCTTCTTTTACTAAAACAAGATTGAAAAATACTTTTCATGTATTTGGTTAACCCCAGAAATTGCACCACATATCAAAAATATAAATATAAAAAAATTAATAATTTAAATAAATTATCAAATAAAAACATGAAAATTTTTAAAAATTTTAGTTTTTATTTGATACATAGTACCTATTAATGAATATACTATATTTGCAATATTTTTGTAAAAAGGGTTGAAAATAGTTTATTTTTTTAAAAAAATATGTCATCTTTGACTAACAACTTAACAAAGTCAAGAACAAATTGTTTTTTACTATTATAAAGTTTATTACAAATAGTAAGTATACATTAAGTAAAGATATTTTTTTTTTTGTAGTTTATAAGTAAAAGATGTAAAATAATTATCTATTATCAATTTTTTTATATGAAACTGTATTTTGACAAAACTGACAAAAGAGTTTTTTTTCATCTATATAAAAATCATTCTTGTATATAAAGTTTTTAAAAAGTTATCCTATGCCTGTAACTATATTATTTCTGAAAACATTTTTTATTTTTTTTTATTTTTTAAATTGTCAGTTTATTAAAAGCTTTTTTTTAAAAAAAAAATAAAAATAAAAAATAAGATTTCTTTTAGTTTTTTGTTTTAAAAGATTTTCTTAAAGCTATTTAAGATATTGTAAAATATATTTGGATTATCACTTTTATTAATTTATATTATTATTAATAGTTATAGAACATGTCTATATATAAGGGCTTAGAATGTTATTACTTATAAATCAAATAAGTTAACTTACTTAATTTTATATATAAATTTATGCAAAAAAATTATTTAAATTAAATTTATTT